GGTTGAAATTTCAACCCCGGGGTTGAACTCATCCCTGGGTCGAAAATTTTGTCATGTAATCGCGCGTTTGATTTTGATAGAGTTTTGTATTACAGATAGGGCTGAAATTTCAACCCGGTAAACAGGGCTGAGTTCAACCCCGGGGTTGAAAATGCTCCATGTAATCGGCCCTTAGGCCTCGGAACCATTTTGAGGGAATTTTAATGACCGTCATTAGTCTGTAAACGGTGACATTTTTGATAAATGGAGATTTTATGACTTAATGCGTCTTTTGTCTTTGCTTCGATTTGTCGATTTGCAACGTATAAATACAGCATAGCGATACGCGCTTGATGTGTGATGTGGACAAAATTTCAACCTTTTTTGAAGGTAAGCTGTGTTCTGCAAATACTTTTTCGATGACTCATTGCTCGAAAGGCACTATAAAAGCCCTTAGAAATGTTTGGCGTGCATACTGCAACAGTGTTTCGTTGACGAAATGTCTCTTCACGGCGAACTGGGAGAAATCATCTTTGGCGACAACATGGAAGCAACGATAGCCTTCCTGAGAGAACGTGGTCTTATCGGAAGCCAGAAGAACTGTCCACGGTGTGACACGGAAATGAGAAAGTCGATTATAGTCTAAACGAAAGTCGTATTGTAGTAATATTTTAGGGGGTCGTATACTTCAAGTACCCTTGAAGTATCCAATCTCATTGGGGCAGTAGGGTTGTTAACTTCAATTGATCCGTTGACAAATGACTTAAAATATCCAAATGAATTAATAAGATTATATGTGGCATAATTTGGCACAAATTTGAAATTTAAAAATATAATAAAAATATGTGGTATTTGACTACATACCGGATGAAGATAAGTTACCATATTGATAGATAACTTCGGAATAATTTCGCGAGTAGAATAGCGAGAAAACAATTTCGCGAGTAGACCAACGAGATTGCCAATTCATGATAAGTCAGGATATTTTTGAATTTTGAAGCCAACTGATGGCAAACACCTGACAACACAAGGCCATCAGCCCGCCATCTATGTCCGTTCGTAGGTTAGGTGTGTGCCCGATGTAAGCTAATTGCTGATTGGCTTAAATTATATAAGCTCGTCGCTGATTGGCTATGTGTTAATATAAGGTTACGGGTACAGTACGTTTGCGATAGCAACATATCTGTTTCGCATATGCAAAAGCCGGCCGCCATGTGATCACACGATTCATTCGATCAATTTCTCATTCTAGCATCTGATTGGTTTTGAGCGCCCAATACGCGATTTCGTAAAAAAATCTACTCTTAATCCCCGATCCAACGGCGCGGAGCGCCTGGTCGGGCGTAAGCCCGTGACGAGGGCACTTATTCCGCCCGGCTATTTACTTCCGGGGAAAGGAAAGCATTAACGAAGTCTAAAGTTCATCAATGATCACTGGCGTGGGTTACCGTGCATGGTGCGAGGGTGAATAACGGTCGTGAATGGCGGACATTGATTGATTCAATTTAAAATTTGCATTATGATGATTGCATAACGACAGCGAAATAGCAAACATTAAACATCTCTTGATTTCTTGAAAATATATTTCATTTTTGCAAAATTTTGTAAATGTAAAGGCTTTTAGAGAAAAGCTTTTTCAAAAAAAAGTGAGAATTGTTAACTGAAGGGAGCAAACACGCACGTTAAAGAAGGTAATTTTGTTTTAAATATTGATGTATTGTTTGCTTTAGGGAAGAATCAAATATACGTTTCTGTCAAAAAGACGTCAATATGGCAATTCTAATTACAAGACCCCCCACGCCCTACCAAAGACGTCGGGCCCCAATAACGGATAATTTGCATGACTATATTTAATTCCACACTTCCCAAGACTCCAATTATACGGAGATTGTTCGCGTTTAAATTTGAATTTTCAAAATATCCAACAAGCTTGAGTTGATGAGATATTTTTAGTTTACCGCTAGTTGTAGTTGATTGCGCGTGAATTTCACGCGCGCATGACCGAAAGCTGTTGTGACCCTATTATTATGTCCCTATTATATACAACTGCCCATTTCGTCATATTTGGTTTAGTGGCATAAATTTTCCTGAGTGTTATTAAGCGTATATTTCGAGTAGAAAAGACGTCATCTCTTTAAACCCCTGTCCCGAAACGTCATATTGACGTCTTTTAGGCAGAATCGTATAAATTATTTGATCCTTCCCTAAATAACTACTTCAAAAGCTGGTCGTTGCGTATAATGAAAAAAACAGCATACAATTTCAGTGTGCAGGGGGTATCTTTATTGATTACCCTTTTGTTATTATATTAAAGTTTTAATAAAAAAGAAAGCGAAGTTATTTGCATGCGAGAGTTTGAAATCATTTTACTTGAAACTCAAAGCTTATCGATAAAGGTTAATTAAGTTTAGCTTATTTTAGTTAATTAAGTTTAGCTTATTTAAGTACATTTCAGGGCGTTTTGCGAAGCGTTTGTGATTGAATTTAACATTAAATTGAAGCTCATAATACGGATAATAACATACCTAACATATATATGTTTGGGAAATTGACAATTCTGTAACTAAAAGTGACATATTTTTGGGGGGAGGAGGGGGATTTTTCTTAATAAAATCATCGTGTTACCGTGACAACTGATGTAAATACTTCATGGTCGGAAAATATAATGGTTTCGCAAGCAAGGAGAGGGTTGCTGCATACTGGTATTTTCCAGTATTACGTATTTCATAATTACCAGACCTTTTATCTTTTTATTGCAAATAGGTAATAGAATTTCTCATTTGTTGAAAAGTTTAAGCAGTGATGGTAAGTCCAATGCAATGACATTAATTCAAGCCGTGATATTTAACAATTATTCGCTGAAGGCGAGGTGAATATCGCTGAATAAAAACCGAGACGAAGTCGAGGTTTTTATTCAGCGATATTCACCGAGCCTGAGGCGAATAATTCTTTTAGTATAATTACAAAGGTGATTATTTGAAAAAAATAATATAACACATCTCAATTTTTTTTCGTATGGCGGTGACTTTAGCTTTCTATATCCAGGGCCGCTCATATCGCCATCAAGAATGCTTTTTTGTAGTAATTCCATCACTTTTTCTTATATAGAAACGTAAAATTCCGTCAATATTGATGTCTTCAAACTCATTTGTGAATTCTGACTGTCGTTGAAACAAATCTGTTGCAGAAAATACTTTTTTTACAAGCGTAAACAAAGGTCTAAACTATTGTACGGCAACTTAAATAAAACGGTGTTTTATGCGAACTAGTTTCCCCATCTCGTAGTTTCCCATCTCGAAATACTTTTAAGCCAAATTTTGTCACTTCTTTCGTGCTTTTAGGTACAGTATTTTCTTTAAAATTTAATTTATTTCTTTATCTGTCACTTCGACGAAACCACTCGCCGCCATTTTGAAAAAAATCGCTTAGGTGATTATCGCGTAATAATCCGAGGTCGCTTGACCAATCAGCGGCCACAATTTTCGATAATCACCTTTGTAATTATACTAAAATTTTATATTAGACAAAACTGAGGAATTATTAACATTATTTTTTCGTTTTTGCTGGAATTCGTTTCGAGGATGTTTATCTGAAGTAATTTCAGCTCGGACTGTTTTTCGGAGATAATAATATATGGGCACTTTATTAGGGAAAAAGGAAACTAAAACTCTTACTTCAACAACTTTACTTCGCTAAACGTTTCCAATTATGAGCGGGATGCAGGCTAGAATAAGACCAGCTAGCCAATCAGATGCTGGGACCATAATGCACCACATATTTGAAAATTGTCCGACAAATCAAAATGCTGAGACGATAAATTGCACATTTCAAAATGAAACCATGAGAAAACGATTTTTGTTTTACTCATCTACTGCACGTAAATCTCTATAATTATAATCGTATAATAATTAAGTATAGATTATTATGAGGCAACGAGGGGCTACGCAATTTATTCACCGAGGGGCGAAGCGCCGAGGTAAATTAACACATATCCCCGAGGTGCCACAAAATAACGTACTTATTTTTCACATTGCGAGGTCGCGTTAATGACTCAGAATAGAGATAATTCTTAATGCCATATTGCCTTCGTTATGTTGTTTTTTCTCATTTTTTGTGCTGCAAAGACATTGCAGGTGAATATTAGAGGGGATTATTAAACGGAAATTGATTAGAGGGGAATATTGAATATATTCCCTGATAAGAACAAAGGAAACCGAGCAAGGTGAAAATAATGCGAATTAATTGCAAGTCGGTTACTTCACAATACTAATCGCAAACTGAATTAATATATTTTTATTTATAATTTGCCTATGGAAATCATATTTCTGAGCTATACAAATAATTCAAGAAAGGTTGTCCTTTGCAAACCTTAAACGCTAAACCTTATACCTTAAACTCTAAGCGCGCAAACCGGATGGGAGCACAAGTTTCAAGCTTATAGTAGCTGAATATTGCAGCTATTTGTAAATGAGTTGTTCTTGCAAGGATACATTAATTTTACCATGCATGTCTCTAAGAAATGGACCCCATAAATGATTTCTAAACTGATCAAATCATGCTCCCATTATGCTTTGCACGCTTGTAGTATAAGGTTTAAGCTTTAGAGACTAGAGTTCAAGGTTTGCAAACAATAACCTTTTTTGAATTCGCTGTATAGTATATAACTGCGCCCAAAGCATAAGAGCAACTTAAAAGAGCAACTTAAAAGATCTACGAGTGGAACTATAGGCCTAAAAGTGTAAAGTCTGATTTGTTTCACTGACTGTAAATATTTATTTATTACAAGATTTTGGCTATAAGTATGTTAACCTGGTTATAAATAAATAATTACAAGAAAAATTCTTAATTAAATATGTTTTACATTCGAGGTACATCATTTACATTTTTTTGTGAATCTTGAATAATTTGCGTCCAAGGGCTTGGGACTCTCTTTCAGAAACATAAACGATCTCTAACCATAGATGCATTTGCAAATAATCCAATTATTGAATAGCCTAATTTATTTTATTTTTTAAACATAGAATACTTTATCGATTCAATTAGTTCAAGTTGTTATCTTGCTGCTGTTGGAATCTGTTGTTGCAACAGAAAACGATACAGGTGTGTATAATTTTTTCACTTTTTTTACTTTTTTGTATGTATGCATGCGTGCCTTTTTGGAAATTTACATTCAACTTGTTCTTTAACATAAATGATTGAACAGGTTTTTACGAATACTAGGGTGAATTAAAAATGTACGAATCATATATATATGAATGACAAGAACAGTTAATATATAGACTTGTTCGTACAAATATATGCCTGTCCTATCTATTAATTAAAATGCCTTGATGCATGACAAGGTGGCAATTTGTAACCCTATCTAGAAAATTTGGCTTCGATTTCATGCACAAATCAAGAATGTTTGATGTACCGGGGATCATGCTCGATTACTATAGTAGGTGTTAAAAGACATTGGATGGGTAGGAGAAAGTTGAAGGCTCATGAAATGTTCAGTTCGTGCTATGTGGGGTTCTTCCTTTTGTTGCAGTCTTGCTGGGAGGGATGTGTGAAAAGACAAAAGAAAAAATCTGGTACATAAATAACAAATTGTGAAAAGATATTGTATGAAGAAATTTTGTAATAGAGATCATCGTAGAGAAACAGTAGTTATTTAGCTTTAACGGTGCATGTTGGAAAATGTATTTTCTTTTTATAGTGATTCATGTATATCCATAAGGCACATTTCCACTCAAGAAAAATTTCTACTGACAGAACATTTTCCGAAAATATTATTGTTAAAATTTTCAACTTCTACATTATTTTCCGACGGAAAATTTGTGTCGCCAATCACATTTTACAAAAATTTCCTTTCACCGGAAAATTTTCCCGAGTGGAAATGGCCCTTATCATAATTATAACTAACAAAGATCAGGGAACGCGGAACAGGCTGGGAGGCCATCCCCCCCCCCACTTTTTCGGCAGATAATAACAAATTACTGGATAAAATCCAGCCTGCTTGCGTAGAATAGCTCCCGTACTATCCTGTCCCCCCCCCCCAACATTTAAACAGGCTCCGCGGTCCCTGTCAAAGGTTGTAATCGAACGGAAACATCATACCATGTATATATGTCGGAAAGAATTAAGGGGGGTGTATAGTTTTAAATATTTGGGGAGATCTTTATTTCTCAGAGTTCAACTGATATAAGAAAGAGGGGTCACATGAGATTTTCATATAGGAATGAGATAAGAATCTTCCACTCCACCCCAGGGTAGTGACACTGAAATTTTTTTCTGTTTACGTTTATAGTCGTTGTGGTTCAGACCTTGGCTGGAAGTGTGGCAGGTAAAGTTGAAGAAACAAAACTTCATGGTATATTTGTTGAAAAATTCCTCAATATCCATTATGCCGAAGCACCAGTAGGGAAGTTAAGATTTATGAAACCTTGTGCTAAGAAACCTTGGAAAGGTAAGAGTCTCATTTTACAGTCCTTTCTTTTTTTTATCTTTTAAATCTCATTACTGTTTATGGTGAGAAATGGCCCCGGAGAGTTATTGCAACAAATCTTATTTGTATAGGTAATAGCATGGTTTCGAATGCAATTTGGATATAACAATACATGCACGAGTGAGTTTTTCAGAGACCTCAAAATAGCACGAGTCCGACGGAAGGACGAGTGCTATTTGAGGTCTTTGAAAAACTCACGAGTACATGTTTATCCAAATTTCACGAGAAACCATGCTATTACTTATTAATAATTTACTTAAAAATGTTCCAGGCAATTGTAGTTTTTACTTACGCGTTTATAGCGAACATTCCACTGGCGAAGTTTTCTTGGCTTTGTTATATCATATTATGCAATGCCAACAACTTGAAAATTCCACTCAAGTGTATGTTTTCAAATTCCACTCAGTGTATGTTTTTAAATTCAGTGTATTATTAAATTAAATTGTATTATTTTTAAATTGTATTATTTTTAAATTCCACTCAGTGTATGTTTTTAAATTCAGTGTATTATTAAATTAAATTGTATTATTTTTAAATTGTATTATTTTTAAATTCCACTCAGTGTATGTTTTTAAATTCAGTGTATTATTAAATTAAATTGTATAATTTTTAAATTGTATTATTTTTAAATTCCACTCAGTGTATGTTTTTTTAGTCTTGTTTAAGGTAAAGGCTTTTCCATTTAAAAATAGAGATACAAGCCATATTTTCCACGCGAACTGGGACCGTTAATTCTTTAAATTGATCGGTTTTAAACTGATTGGTTGTTTTTATCATCACAATGTTTTTCCAACAGTCAGATCAGTTTGCTACAGTACGTTTTTGCACTTTGATTACAGGATATTGCACTGCTGTTTGGGATTACTACACTGAAATCAACCAATCGGAGTCGAGTAAAAAAATTGCTATTTAATTATTATAGGTTATTTTACAAAATCTTAGAACCTTATTTTTAACGAATAAAATCCTAGATATGCTGATTACAAAAAATTTCTTTCATAATATTTTTTCATAATGTTATTCATATTACCAGGGGTGGAAAAGGTATCGGAACCTGAGAACCTAGTTACCAGAAATTTTTTTTAGATGAGAGTTTGCAGAAGATTTTTCAGAAAATATTTCAACATTTTGAGATAACTCTGTTTACTCAACTTTATACAAGTTACAACTATTCTACTATAATTACACTGTACACGCTAACATTAGCAGCTTTTAAATATTTGACAGAAATTAATTCTTTTGCCACCCCTGCCATCACAATGAGGTAAAATGGTAAATATATGCTGGAATGATGGAATAAAGTGATGGAATAAATAAGATGATCGGACACTTAGTTAAGTGTTAGATCCTTACTAGTTGGTCATAACTCATAACTGTGGTACATAACAGACAACTATTGCGATGTACGAGCATACGATTAAAGTACAAATAATACAATAATTATGGATTGGTTTTCTTATTTTTGTAACTGTAACTGTAACTGTAACTGTAACTGTAACTGTAACATTGCAAATTTTGTCCATCCCTGCTTGTTACAGTTTCATTTATTATTTCATACAATACACAATATAATTTAACAACGCTTTTCTATACTAGCTAGTGATGCTGACTCTCTTGGAAATTAGATAGCAAAAAATTCTACTTTAGGGAGAAACCAGGCCTAGGCTTCAAACAAGTCCGTAAAATATGAAAATAAGTGTTTTGAATAAAAATACATTTTCTAAGGTTATAGTTGTTTTTTTCAGACCATGATATGTTTCTGCTTTGGTTTTTGAGGACTCTTGAAAAAGCCAGACGATACGCCAATCGCGTGCCCTCAGGGAATTAAAGTTCCTTACATAATGAAAGAAGATTGTCTCATACTGAATATCTGGACACCACATCCAAGACACAAATCTGCTGCTGTCATGGTAGGACACTATTTGTTTTATAAATTGGCATTTTCTTCCCTTTTAGATGCTTTGAATAAAGTGGAAAATATCTATCTTCTGCAGGAGCATCTTTCAATTTCTGAGCAATGATTTCATATACAACCTTATATATAATGGTAATTGAACTGAGTGGAGTGCAAACAGGCCCTTTCAAGGTTTATTCCGCCATATTGCCGGGGGTGCAAAACGTTGGGGCGAGCGCGCGGCCAAGCCATGGCTGCCATATATTTTACCAATGAATGAGCGATAATTTTGTGTGGACATGTTGTTGATTTTCTCATGCTATATTAAAAGATAGTCCAAATTTTTGTATTCTGGCTGATCTGTGTGTATTTTCAAACTACTGGTAAAGATTTCAATGGAATCTGACTGGGGGAAATTCATGAATATACTGATTTCTTCGACACCTTTCGGCGAGTTGTTTACAGTGGGTTCACGACAACGAGACGCCGAAAACAGGGCTTTACGTCTCTGTTTGTTTAAACAAAACAACATTACAAAAGAATCATGTTTAAAAACAATACAACAAAGCGGTCGGAGAGAAGAAAGACGTCCAGGTGCGAGAGTGTAACCTGATACCAATGTCAATCTCACCTATAATTATATGACATACTATTAGTAATTAGATCTAAAAGATAAACTTCTAAAAGTAGGCGAATCCAAAGTGTTTGAGAGTATCAGTTGTTCTCATTGGCAGTACCACCCCCATAGCCAACTGAGAGCGAAACACAAGCAGAAGGAACAGTATCTACAATGTTGTTCAATAATCTTAAAAACCTGCCTGATGTATTTGATAAACTTTTGTGCCTATCAATCAAATTCATCAAAATAGCATAAGAAACTCATCAAAACTTCACAAGTTGTATAAAAGAACAAATTATGTAAAACTTATTCTCTCTAATAATGGAGTTGATGTATGGAACTCACTAGAATAAAAAATAAAGACATAAACTCTCAATACATCTTCAAAAAAACAAATTAAGCAGCATTTCTTGATGAAAACATTCTATTTGTATATTATTCTATTTGCATATTACTGTTCCTCTATTACTCTGAAAATTTTCTCTCTGAGTTGACTGTAAAATAAAATAATATATTATAAATCTAACAGTTAACTATAAACCTTTACTAGAGGCCTAAAGCAAAAGGCCTGCCTACAAAGTATCTAGTAGGTCTTTAGCCCAAATTAATATAAGGAAATATATGTAAATATTGTCTATGGAACTGTACATAGGGGAGAAAAATTAAAACTAAATAAATAAATGATAAAGAAACTCCTTCATCGGTTATATTTCTGTCCTGAGGTTTTCTGGGGTCAAATTATTTCCTCAATGTTTAATCGCGGCCAGGATTTTGGTCTAAATATTAAATTTTTAACCTTGCTTGGATTTACTTCTTTTCATGTTCCTTTGTTCCATCCTTGGGGAGCACTGGTACCGGCATACAAGCAGGGGAAATATACTGCTTGTTGCAAGCATAGTCATAACTCATGATCTTATACATAGAGGAGAGCAAGTACATGATTACATGCCTCGACTGTTCCAGCTGTTCAAGGACACACATTCACAATTTTATATGTGAATCATCACAAATCCTTTGTGATGGACATACAGAGCTTTACAAAAAAGTCATGGTCTTGTCAATGGGGCATTTGGCAACATGAATTATATCAACAAATCCACCCATCCAATATGAGTAGGCCCTCTCATCTTTGTATTTGCCAATATATTCAACATCCACTGCCTTTACTCGTAGAATGTAGCATTCCATCATCAAGATGTGGCCATGTTTGAATATCATCTTTCCAATATTCATCGCACAGAGTGTTAGGATCGCTCTAATAATATCATTAGTTTGTAGCCTTTGTTGGTATTCCTTCCTAGTTAATACTATCAAAAATTTGTTCCTGTGTAAATTTCTTTGGAGCACCCAATTCATACGCTTTAAATGCTCTTGCCACAAGTTCAACCTTTTTCCCACTCTGTCAACCCAACAAAATCTTCGTATTCAAGCTTCTTCTTTGTAGCCATAAACAGCCAAAGTAAAATGACTATTTGCAATATAGTCCTCCTATGAGAACATAAAATATAAACAACTCAAACTCTCAATATCTCTCAATATATACCCTTTGGATTCGATAAAGGTGAGATTGACATTGGTATCAGGTCACACTCTCGCACCTGGACGTCTTTCTTCTTTCCCGACAGCTCTGTTGTCTTGTTTTTTTAACATGATTCTTTTCTAATGTTGTTTTGTTTAAACAAACAGAGACGTAAAAGCTCTGTTTCCGGCGTTTTGTTGTGGTGAATCCACTGTTAACAGCTCGCTAAAAGGTGTCGGAGAAATCAGTATATTCACGGATTTCCCCCAATCAGATTCCATTGAAATCTTTACCAGTAGTTTGAAAATACACACAGATCAGCCAGGATACAAAAATTTGGGCTATCTTTTAATATAGCATGAGAAAATCAACAAAATGTCCACACGAAATTATTGCTCACTCATTAGTAAAATATATGGCAGCCATGGCTTAGCCGCGCGCTCGCCCCAATGTTTTTCACCCCCGGAATATGGCGGAATAAACCTTGAAAGGGTCTATTTGGACTGAAATCAAACGCGTGATTACAAAATCGCACGACCGCGAAGCGGGAGTGCGATTTGTAATCACAAGTTTGATTTCAGTCCAAAATTGCACGACACGAAGTTCAATTTCCACTTTATGATATTCATTTTGAAATCTAGCTTAAATATTTTTGTAAACTGGAAACGTTTTTGTTTGCAAAAGACACACCTCCGATACCTCCCTGAGTGCTGTAGCATAGCAACAATAAGCGAGCAAGATGCACTTTAAGAGGAGATTTTTTGTATGTTACGTAACACGCACTCAAAACTAATGCGCATAATATATCACTTGAGGTTATGGCTAAATTCAAAATTTTTATTTTTTTATACGTTTCTCAATCGGAAAACAAACTTAAACATTTTGTTTGGTGCTTTATCTGTAAAATAATGACAAAATGAAGGGATTTTAGATGATACGCCAAAGAGAAAATGACTTCTGAAATTCAGTATGTTTTGCTTATATTACTATAAATATGGCATCAATTTTAAAGCATCATTGATAATTGTGTTTAAATTAACAATTTTTAACTATTATTTTATGTTTCTCAACCGGCAGATGCATTTCAATTTTGAGAGGGACGCCAAAAAGATTTTAGGTTTTGAACACTTTTCATTGCAAATACGTGATATTGAAAAAAATTGCCTCTTAATAGTTTTGTAAGTTTTGTTTATAAATACGTTCAAATACTGAAAAAATCTTAAAGAAATGAAGACATTTATAAAGAATAAGAGACAACACAAGTAAGTTTAAACATATTGTAGGTCTTACGAGTGATTGAAAGAGTTTTGGTGCAGTTTTGTGCGTTTAAAATTGGAAATACGATAGGCGAATTTACCTTTGTTTTCCCGTAGTCCTGTCCGTCCGGATGCTTTAAATTTGCTTTTGTTGGCATTTTTGCCAGTTACTATTTGTGAAATTTCAAAAAATATGTAATTCTTTACAATTATTTGATAGTTTACTGTAGCTATCCATATTTTTTTGTTTTTATGTGCAAAAAATTGCTTAGGCACTCAAGAGTATAAATCATGACAGGTAAATTTTTTGTTTTTGCTCATTTGCCATATCACATTTTTCTTAAAATTCATTGGCTGTTTGAATCCTATGATTAAATATGATTGGTTGGCTGAATTCAGCACTCTAATGTGATTGGTTGAAAGAAGGTGCGATTTCAGCACGAATCGCACTGCTAGGAGTGCGATTCGTGCTGAAATTGCACTCCTGTGAACCAATCAGATTGCAGGAAACACCACTGATTTCAAAATGAATATAATAAGGGTAGCTATGTTGCTACTTTATACTTTATAGTTCTCTTAGTGGAGACACTAAACCGGAGTGTCGAAATCGAACGGCAGGAACATCTTTCAATTTCTGAGCAATGATTTCATATACAACCTTATACGGCTAGCTATGTTGCTACTTTATACTTTATAGTTCTCTTAGTGGAGACACTAAACCGGAGTGTCGAAGTCGAACCGTGGGATCTTACACGAGTGGGTCATTTTCGAATCTCGGCCGATTGCTCTTCAACTTCAAATTTATAATTTTTCTACTTTTAGTTTAGCACGAAGGCGCAATTTAGCGTTATTACTTTAGGCAACTCTTCCGTATTTCGGAAATGGCTATAGTTATTTCAAATACGCTGGATCGCGGATGTAATGTATTCGGGAATTCACTTTCAGACAATAGAGAGGTTAGGCAGGTGACGTTTTTTACATGACCTACGCCAACCGGAAGTCAATCATGCTCCTATAGATGGCAACCGGATTTCTTGTTTGAAGTCAAGAACGGCAGTCAATGGAATTTCATGTTCGTGATTTTCAATAAGAATGGCTGTCGTCCTCACTTGCTGTCTATATTTGCTCGATTGACTTCCACCTGGAAGCTGTTAAAAATGTCGCTTTCCTATTATTAGGCTATATATTACATCTGGTTTCCGTAGATTCGCCGAATCCTAAGCTAATTACCTTTTAATTTTCAATTTGGGTCTCTTTCTTCAATTTTAAATTTTAATTGCTAGATCTATATTCACGGAGGTGGGTACACAAGAGGAACGGCAGGAATGTTTGATGGACATTCATTTGTTGCAGCGGCTGGTGATGACGTCATTCTTGTTACAATAAACTACAGATTATTTGATCTAGGACTTTTGGTAACTCGAGATGAAAGCGTCAGAGGTAACATTTCCCAAATAACACACATTATTTTCAATGATCTATTTTCCTGCTAAACCACATTAATTAAGAAAATTAAGCAATGTTTGCTAATGTGCCTCTGTAGACTTGAAATATTCAGTAACATTTTTTAAATTTTAACATTTGGTTATCACTAACTTTGCGATAAAAAGCTCCATTGAACTGTAGTAACAGTGGAATGGTTCAATTGATGAAATGATTTGCTGTAGATTTTTAATGTCGGTAAACGGTACAGGTAATATAAATTAAAGTATATAATTCCAGGTCAAGTTAAATAATTGTGATGGCATTTCCGCACTACTGTATGTAGTTGGAAATTGACTGTTTATTTTTGTCTTGGCAGGGAATTTAGCATTGTTTGATCAAAGGTTAGCCTTCAAATGGGTACAGGAGAACATTGAGCGATTTGGTGGTAATCCTCAAAAGGTGACTATATTTGGAAATAGCGCTGGATCAGGTTCCGCTTCTTGTCATTTTTTCTCTGAGGAAAGTTGGCCTTACTTTCAAAGAAGTATTTTACAAAGTGGAAGCATCACATTTCCAATGGGGATCGTCGATATGGATACTGCGAAGAATATGTCGGAGAAATTTCTTGGAGAAGTGAAATGCAAGAATGATAAAAATGTTTTGGAATGTCTTCAAAATCTTAGCACCGATGATATAATGGAACATTACCGAACCACTGAATACTCTATGACTAAAAATTTCTTGTTACCAGTTATTGATGGGGATTTCTTGAAAGAATTACCTGCAAAAATGCTTATAGAAGGAAAACATAAACACATTGATCTAATGCTTGGCGTTTGTGAGCACGAGGCATTCCTTTGGCATTTTTCTAAATTGCAGAAGAACCAAACAACTGAATTTTACATTAATTATTTCCAGCAAATTCTTCAGATAGAAGTTGACGATCTATCTGAAAGGGTGCATGAAAAAGCTTTAGAGCTATACGAACCACAAAGTTATCCTAATTTCGTTGAAGCATTGAGACCAACGATTGAACTGGAAACTGATAAGTATTGGGCCTGTCAGACAACTCAACTAGCAAGAACATGGTCCACTCAATCGATAGGTAAAAATGTATATGTTTTCAGATTCTCGTATACTCCTCCTCTGGATTTGCTGGTTTATTATCCTCAGGGTACTTTTGGATTTGCTGCTCATGCTTCAGATCTCATGGTAAGTGGAGAAAAAAATATAAATTTGCTAAGCTATGCGAATGCGAAATGATCTGCACCTTGAAATAGCAGACATATAATATAACAATTTATTTTCTTTAAGTGCGAATTTAAATACTTTTTCTGACGTCGTTTTAGGGTACATTTGGCTTCCCCATCAACAATACACATTTTCCTGAAGAAGACATGGTTATGTCATCTCGAATGGTTACGTACTGGACGAACTTTGCCAAAAATGGGTGAGTACCTTGATTCAGATATTGAGCTTGATATATATTTATGTTATTGACTTTTTTTTTCTCAAATATAAAATGGATTTAGGGTTTGAGTCAAGGTTTTGAGGTCTTAGACCCCGTTTACACGGTACCGGACGAATTTGTGACCGGACGAAAATTCTTCCGTTTCGGCCGTGTAAACACACTAGAACCACGGAACCGGACGAATTTGAGACCCCCTAACTGGACGAATTCACGTGTAAACAGGCGAAAAAGGACGAATTTTTGTCCGGTCCCAAATTCGTCCGGTACCGTGTAAACGGGGTCTTATACGCAACATTTGGATAGAACTAGGTGTTTGTTTTGTTAATTATGCGAGTTTCATATTCTTTTCAGAAAATCAGGTTCATTGTGTTGAGGATTTAAGACTGTATCCGGATTGTTACATCTAGCCTTATGCACTGTTTAACTACTCTTCTTTGACCGCGGCAAACTTACTGTTCTTTGACCGAAGCAAACTTATAATCAGACATATCCATATTGTTGGAATATAATACGAGTCTCAGGAAATATGTGAACTTACCATATTGATTGACCAGCATCTATTAAACGATTTGGTGATTGGTTGCCAGGGTGTATGCTTATTCTACACCAACTAGTACTTCTCCTAACTCTGAATTTGTTATTGATTCTTGTTTAAGGGACCCGAATGTTGGGATTACAAACATCACCTACAACAAAGAGGAGTTTCAAAGGTTACCTGATTGGCCCAAGTTTACTGACTCAAATGAGAGATATTTGGAGTTCAATGAACTGCATGAACTGGGAAGCGGTGAAAATTTACGTGAAATGTACTGTGATTTTTGGAATGATCCAGAGGAATTTACGCGCCTAAATCCTGTCGCATCTGGGTCGTTCAACGTCTGGTTGGCTATCGTTATAACGTTAACAGTTACAACTGTAGTTGCTATCATTCTTTATGCTTTGCTGAGGGACTCATTTCGTAAATCGTACAATACAGTTTGAATGTATTTTGACGCTCTTTTATCATCATTGCATGGAGACCGCTCTAATGATGACGTCACATAACTACAGCTATATTAAAACACTGAATAACATTGAAAAACAGATAAAATTTGGTGCTTTAGGAATAAGAATGTGGAAATTTTGATTTTCAACATCACACAAGTTTGCCACCCTAGGACACCACAAGAAACACTTAAAGAACGTATACAAGAAACATTAAAGAGTATCATTCCAGTGATCCTTTGGGCGCTTGATGTCCCAGAAAATGGCCGACTCTTGATTGATATTATTTTATAAGTAATCTCCAATATTTAATTTGTATTGGCCCATATTTATCGGAATCCTATTGAAAAACGACTCAATTTTTGCTATTAAACGAAGTAAATCATCATATCTTGTGAAATATTGCGTTTTTTATTCCAAAATGTTTGAAAGGGAAGTATATTCATCAGAAATAGCCGAATGTAAACATAGAATTTAAATATCAGCGTGCAAAGGATCACTAGCTTGACACTCACTCTTTAAAGAGGACCGAACCGAATTCAATTCTTTACTTCCTGCAATTTGGTGTTCAAAACCTATTAAATGTGGTTTCGTGATGCCAAATGTTATTACTCATTCCTTATCAGTGCTGCGAGTAACTTCGTTACAAGTAAGTAGTTACATGTAATCGTTACTTTTTTGAGTAACTGTAACGGTAACTAGTTACTTTTTTCAAAACGTAAATTGTAACTGTAACTAGTTAAAAAATTAGGAATAAAACGTAACGATAACTAGTTACATTTGCGGGTGCTTTGAAGCCCGCAAAAACATTCCTTTAGTCCGCGACACTGTCTAGAACACTGTTACAAAAGACATTATTGAAATTACGTAAATACCTTAAGCCATAGTAAAAAGTAGGATAAAAACTGCTTAACAACATACCTGCTCTTTGAATTTTCAAAATTTTTAGGATTATAATAAAAAACCGATAAATAAAAGCAAAACCCTTCCACGTCTTGATTGAAGATTTTTACAGGACAACGAAGATTCCACTCGCGAGTCGTGAGGATGACCCCTGATCAAAATAAACCATGTTCTAAACTACACTTTGACCCTACAATCGCGTGCAAAAATAATGAGACTCTTCACATTTGGTGATCTTTTTCACGTGTGTTCGCCCTCCCTCCATTAACAATGTTGTAAACATATTATTAGATTACCCCTTGCCTCAAATTCGTTTTAACAACATTGCACGACGGGAAGGGGAACAAGAACCACTTGTTACAGGAAGGAGGGGGCCGATAACCTGCTTGTCTCAACAATTTTTGCACGCGATTGTAGGGAGCCACCTTAAACGCAAAATGATTTTGCTAACCCGGTTCGTTTCTCTCAGCCATATCAGTTGAACTACACGCATAATCTTGGATAAAGATCGGTTCAATTTATTAATCCATTCGTTAACAAAATATGCCTTTGTCAGATGAAAGTAGAGAAGTCGTTTCCTAAAGTTTCGGTGGCCATCATCAAGGCAAAGCTTTTCAAATTAATTTTCTTACGAGGGCGTTCGTGGTGAAGTGAATGTCTGGACACAGGTTAGTATGGGTCCCAAAAACGGCTGTCGTGTGAACCAGCATTTTATTTCACTTCATTTATATCCGTAAAATGTAAAACATTCAGGTAATTCGCATCGCAGGTTGTCAGTTTGTTATGGATTTCATTGATGTTGCCGCTGTATTTGCCAACCCCGATCGCTTTCACAAGTTGTCAGCAGCAAGTTGGCTTCTTCACAACTTGGTACAAGATTCTTGATTGATTAGTCTCGTTACAAGTTGTCCAACAGCTTTTTTATCGTCCTGCACTTTCATCAAGTATATTAACAAGCTGTGAGTAACAACCATAGTAACCATGTAGCAACATGATAAAATGACAACATTGGTACGACTTGTTGAAAAACCGCCTGTTACGAAATTGCTGAAAATATGTTTTCGCCGGTAGGCGGCGTACTGGAGCCGCAATGGATTAAGGTTTATGTATCAAAACCCACGGGTCAACATAGATGACTTGGAGTTGCAATGGGTTATGAATCGAATGAGAATGATTATTGTCTTCTGGTCGTAGTGGCTTCTCAAATGCATTATTGATGTAAATTGTTGACAGATAAGTTTTGTCTTGTTTATTTGTGTTGATTCTTGCAGGCAGGTTTTGCAATCTTGGAAACTGCCGTCCCAGCATCTGGAAAAAACGCTGAGGGAGACTTTTCACTGCTGTTCGCATTTTTATCCTTTTGTACAGTTACGTACTGACACAATGCGTGGCTACCTGCAAGCTATCTGGTTTCAGTTTATAGTGCTTCTTATATCTCATTTGTGTCGGTTTTCTTTGATCGTCCAAGGTTTATAACTAGCTAATATACCTTGAATAAATAATTACATCAAACTTTTCGACAAAACGCGAGAATTTTTCATAAAAAATGTTCGAAAATGACAAAATATGTTAGCAAAACCTCCACAAATGAGATATAAGTTAGTTATAAACCTCGAAAGTGGGCTTCGCTGATATGATGACAGGTCTGGTTTATGCACCTCTGCACATACGCTGGGTTGTACATTGGACCGTATCAATATAGACCAATCGCTAATATGTCACATTTACGAAGCGAATTTTATTTTTTGTAAATCAGCAGCGGGCGGAATGCCGGAATCCTAGCGTTTTCTACAATCTGATAAATTGGCTGCAGCAGCGGGCGGAATTTTAAGATATTTGACCACGGTCCGGAATCCTATACGTAATATGGCCGAAGCAAAGCAAAATTTTTTTGTATGTTTATTTTAAAACTGAAAAATATGTATATGTAATTTTGAAATAATTTTAATGATGGATAAAATAATTGTACTGTATTTTAATTGAATTGTTTGTTTTCTAAAATAAGATAATTAAACATCAAAATTTTTTTATTGTTTTGTTTTCTATATGCGCAATCTAATAAAACCGTTGCCATTTGCCTCTGAGTCTTCGACCAAAAAAATAAATACCTTATTTACCGTTTAGGTCAGTCCGGATAGAAAATTATTTTGCTCGGTCTCAAAAACTTCCCTCGGCCTTCGGTCTCGGGCCGTTTTTGAGACCTCGACAAAATATTTTTCTATCCCATATCCGGGCCTTCCCATCCGGATAACATATACACTGATCAAGACCGAGCGATATTGTCCTTGTTACGTTCTTCAACGTATTGGAAAATTATTTGTTATAGTCAGAAGACTTATGCATGGAATTAAATTGCATGGAATTGGTACTAACTGTTTGTTTTTTTAGCTAAAGAGCCTGAAAATAAAGCACTGAATGTAATGAATGTGCATTGCCGTAAGCAAATATATTACAACTTCATCAAAATATTTTCTTACCATTGATTTAATTTTTCCAGGAAAAAAAGCGCATAAACAAAAACTTGTACAATACTTATTATTAATTGTTGTACAATACTTATTATTGATTTATGAGCGGAAAGTTATTATATCAATACAAATCGGTGTATCGCAAAGGTATCAATAGTGGAAATGAAGTGTAATTAATCGCACTCTTTGCGCTAATGAATATTTAACAATTATTCGCCGAATAATTGTTTTAGTATTTTTACACGAGTTTTTTGTGTTATTTGGTACTGAATTTATTTTAATTTCGCTTATTTCTTTATCAGTAAACTTCCACAAAACGGCTAGCCGCCATTTTGAAAATTTCAGTTTTGTTATATTCACCTGTAGGTGATCGAATGTAACTGCTTAATATGTCAAATTTGATCAGTCAGGTTGTAGGATTTATTATATGTTCACTTGTTCAAAAATACTAAAGCTATTTATTCAAGTTGTCTGGCTTTACCACAAAGCTAAGGTGCTGTAGATGTTTAGTTATACAAGAATCCGGATTGACTTTTAATTCGGATTGAACTCAATCCATTTTAATACAAACCCTATTAAATGTTTACATGAGTCCGAAATGAGTTACAACTCGATCTCATTGTAAACACGGATTCACTTGATATTTCGATCCGGGTTGAAACTTGAAAGTCAATCCGGACTCATGTAAACAACACCTAAGCCTAGCAGGATATCGATATGGAAGAAAAAACACCGTTGTTACAATCGGGACACAAGGATGAAGTTGACCCAAAAGTTGATTTTAAACCTGTTTCAAAGTGAGTAGCTAATGGGCCTGTCGTATGGGCCCGTTGCAAGGGCAGGTCGCCTGAGTATAGGGTGAATTATATTTGTGTTCGTATGACACTTTTTATCTCACCTAATATCCCGACTCGGCGGGACTACCTGAGGTAAACATTGCTGTCATCGAAATATTTTTTGATGTAATTAAACAACTGACTACACATTGTATCGAGGCTTTAAAAGCGCCTGTTAGGTGTATTAATGTTTTATTTTTTTGTTTATAATCCCATCTATGCCGTTCAAAGCTATATTACGGGTCCAAATAATGCCCATCCCGGTAAGATGAAGCCTTAATATGGAGAATATTATCCCACTTGACTGAGATCTCACCTTGCGCAAGTGAAGACCTTAACAATAATTTCATTTGCCCTTTCAACAAGAGAAATGTAGATCCCAACTCAGGTCATGAATCTCGCATGGACAGGCCCTAACAGAGAAGTTGGCCAATTGTCTAGTGTCGTTTAGATCTGTTTTATCTTAGCTATTGTCTAGTGTCGTGCTTTTTAGTTTATTCCCAGAGCATTATTTTATATACAGCTAAATAAACAAATGTAATAAAAATGAACCTCTGTACAAATATAGAAAAAGCACGATTTTTTTAAACTTAGTTCTTTGACAAACAGTGTTATGCAACTAACGTTTTGGCAAGTTGCAAACGACATACTTTAATCCAAAATTTACAACTTCGCTCTGTACAATGTACTATACTTGCGGTTGAAGCCTTAAAGTGGCATGTAAATTGGTAAGGACTCATCTCTGTCGATGACAACAGAAACCAGACACGGTACTATATAGAGAGCGGTGCTCTAGATCATGCGTAGAACACGCGCACCAATACATAGAACATGCATATATTACTGTTTTTGAATGAATATAATATACATAACAAGGCCTCTACACGTTGGTCAAGTTTTCGCGAATTTTTTCCCACCCGCGTGCGGGCGGTTTTAGAAAGTTTAAGCACGAGATGATGAGACGTGTGGTATGTAGATAGTAGAGGTGTGCATCGGATCGGATTGGACGTTTATAATCCGACATTTGGCTAATGTTTAAAATACGATCCAATTACAAACTGTCTAATGCAAATCCGATCCAATCCGAGTTGTAATAAAGTTTTCCAATCCGATCCGATCCGAAGAATTCTTTAATAAAATAAATTTTTCATTCACGTTGAAATGTTTAACCAAATAAATATAAAAGCAAGAAATACATGTCAAGAAGCTGACAAAGTGACGTCCAATTGAAGTATCAAACGAATAATGCGGCGACAACCGCGAGAATGCTTTGATACATGCATGGATAATTAATTCTTGCAATAATACGTGGATAATTAATTCATTTTATTTGAATATCGAAGTCCGATCCGATCCGACTGCGAAACAACTTTATGAATCCCATCCGATCCCAAATGTATATTTTTGTTCCGAAATTCGAATGAATCCGTTTGGATCGGATTCGGATCGGATTCGGATCGGATTCGGATCGGATTTGCACACCTCTACTAGACAGTGTCTAATCATCAGTTATTTGCGGAAAATGTAAAGGGAAGAGAGGACACTAATGATAAATTTCTACTCAGACAATGTTTGACCGCCATTTGTCTGTATTTATTGCAATTTTTCAGATCAGTGATCTGTTGTCTAGGAACGCACGTCTTTAATAGCCGCGCCTTAGGTCTTACACCTGCATTCTAAAAGCTCACTCACTCACACTCACACTCAATGAGTGGAGGTTCAATCTGAGCTTTTCTTGAGTGTCAGTGCTGTTTTTGAATAGCTGGAGGGTGAGTAGTCACATAGTAAGGTACGACACTAACTCTTCAGCTATTAAAAAACATCACTGACACTCAAGAAAAGCACAGATTGAACCTCCACCAATTGAGTGTGAGTGTGAGTGGGCTTTTAGAATACGGGCGTTAAGTGATCAGTGATCTGTTGTCTAGGAACGCACGTCTTTAATGGCCGCGCCTTAGGACTTAAGCTCTCTGTTTAACGCATTTAGAATGGACTAATACAAGGACAACAGCTATCGATACAACACTTCTGTGGATTTTTCGCATAATGCAAAAGATTGCTATGTATTGCATATAATTGCAATCAAATAACAGTCAACCAATTTTCCCAAGGTATGGGTGGGTGGGTAGGGTCGGGGAGTTTGATTGTTGGAGATAGGGGAGGGGGTTGAGGGTAACGAGCTGCTTCGAGCATTTGCTTTTATCATAAATCCTGAATTATCCAATGGAAGAGGGCGCACATTTAATAAATTTTAATAATAATAATAATAATAATAATAATAATAATAATAATAATAATAATAATAATAATAATAATAATAATAATAATAATAATAATAATAATAAACTTTATTTAAAGAAGGTGCAATTATACAAAAACCAGTTTAGCAACGCTAATCTTACACTGGGCCATCTGTTCAACTGTTATCGTCTACTTATTACGAATTTACTATTAAAACTACACATTAAATTGGACTTCAGTACAACAAGCACAAATAAAAGTCGTGCAAACAAATAACTTATATATAAGTATCTAAAAAGTATTGATATAGGCTCTTATTTTAAAGGATTGTCTGGTCGCACGCGGTAAACTGCATGTTATATAATGTTGCACAACTGAATTTCAACGTTTTCTGCCTAATTTTTGGTTTCGTTCGCGGTATCCACAGTTCGTTGTTCTCTGAGCTTCTTGTAATTCGTTTTGTCACTGATCACTTTAAGACAAACATGTCACTTAAAAATATGTACTTGGGTACCCAGTGGTTTAATGATTTATATACCATTATTGCTGTTCGTAGCCATTACTCTTTGCGGTATAGGCAGGACTCCAGCAGCTTTAAATAGTGACCAAGGAGAGGTTAGGTTCGGTTTGTCGTATATAATTCTCAGAGCTAACTTTTGGAGTTTATGTATGCGAATAATATGACATGATTGTCCCCAAACTGTACAGCAATAATCTATGTGAGGTTGTAAGAAACACTTGTAGTAAATTACTCGGTGACCAATAGGCAAATACTCCTTGATCTGCCCCAAAAGACGAATTCCTTTAATTAGAGACTTTGTTACTTTGTCAACCTGCTGTTTCCAGAAAAGATGTTCATTCATAACAACCCCAAGTATTTTCTCACTGTTGGTATTCTTTAACTGGACACCGTTAAATTATACTCGTAGATTTGAATTTAATGTGGCTGCGCGCTGAGATGTTGTTATTATCATTGCCTTCGTTTTACCATCATTTATTACCATATTGTTGTTAGTACACCAAGCTTGAACGTTTGTCATATCCTCAGTTAACTTATTATTGAGTTCCCCAACTGTTCTAGCACTTGTATGAATTGTCGAATCATCAGCATACATGTCTGTGTTGGAATTGACATATAGTGGAAGATCGTTGATAAACATTATAAACAATAAAGGTTTTAGAATACTTCCTTGGGGGACACCATACAGAGAAGATTTCTTAGACGGGAAAGTTCCTTTAAAGTGCACACATTGGTCTCTTTCTTGCAGGTATGACTTAAACCAGGTTAATGTCAAATCATCGCATCTGTAAACTGCAAGTTTTCGTAATAACGAATATGTATCTACCATGTCGAAAGCTTTGCGTAGATTAATAAATACTGCCCCATTTATGAGGCCGCTCTCCATGTTGGATGTCCACATATCCACAAGTTTGCATAGCGCTGTTTCACACGAGTGATATCTTCGAAAACCAGATTTGGCATGATGTAATAAGTTATAACTCACGAGAAACTGGTAAAGATGATTGTGAACATGACGCTCGAGAACTTTACTGACAGCGCAGAGTATAACTATGGGCCTGTAGTTGTTGACATCACATTTGGCACCAGATTTGTAGATTGGGATAATTTTTGATGTTTTCCATTTTGTCGGAAACATTCCGGATGATAAACCTTTATTGAAATTCTTAGTCAGAGATGGAGCTATTAAATAGGTTGACATCTTCAAAATCTTGTAACTTAAGCCATCAAGTCCGGTTTCTTTGTGAGCGTTTAAGTTACGTAGATAACTACAAACCTCTTCTGCAGTTAGTTGTAGAATTCTAATGGAATTATCACTAGTAATTCTTGAGTTCACCATTTCAGATAGTTTATCAAAGTTACTAGAAAACTGTTGAACCGCAATATACTGGTTAACAATGGTGGAGAAAAAGTTGTTGAAATGTTTACACATATCATGTTTACACAAGGCTTCTTCGTTAAAGTTTTTATAGCAACGATACTTGATGGTCGTGTGTGAATGTTTCCTACCAAAACTTTCTTCAAATACTACGCAAGTCGTATAATGATCACTAATTCCAATTCTTGGGATTTTAACGCTTCTAATTTATGTGGGACGGATGGAAATACATGATCTAGGAGTGTAGATGTAATTTCTGTAACTTTTGTTGATTCTGTAACAATCTGGTGAAGATGTAAGTCACCCATAGATTCCGACCAACATTGAGAGTCACTGGTATTTTTCGAAACATCGATGTTAAAATCTCCCATTATTGTTAGTTGATGACCTTCCACATAAGCATTATTTAGTTGCATTTCAAAGTTTTCAATCCATTGCGATATGGTGTACTCAGGACATCTATATGCAACACAAATAAGGTGAGCCGGACTGTTAGATGGACAAGGTTGTAACCAGATCGATTCAACATTGATAGATTCAAGATCATTTCTTCTAAAATAGGGAATGTCCTCCTTAATGTAAACCATAATTCCGCCTGCATGGTGCTTATCAATTGGTACTGTTTTTGAAGATCTGTCGCTTCTTTCGTGTGTATAACCATTGATTTTATACGTGTATCATCAATTGATTCGTCTACCCAAGATTCCGTAACACCAAGAATGTGTGTTTCGCTGCCTGGGTCCTTTAGAATTAGTTTTATTTCATCTAGCTTAGTGTTATTAATTCTCGGTGCTAAACTTCGTAGATTCCACTGAGTGATTCGAAGTCCGCTTGGCAAGTCACTACACATAGATGGATGATGCGGGAGTGTGCGTCGTTGTCAGTCCCATCAGGTAATTTTGTAGTACTTCGAATACTCAAATACTTCTAAATTTTAAAGGGGGTTTGGACTGACCGAGACCGACTTTTGATTCGAGAAAGGTCCGGAACCGATCATAACGAAGAATGATACAGTGTACCTGGCTGGCTGGCTACAATGAAAAAACTTTTAAAATTGTTTATTGGGACTAGTACTTAATTAAAACATTTGAAATGGCAATTAGACAGACAAAACAGACAATTTTGCGAGATATAACTTAGTTTACACGTTTAACAATTAGGAAATCTTAGATCAAGCAGTTCCAAAGGCAATGTTCCATTTTAAGAGGGAGAAGGCCCTTGAAGCAGTACAAGAATGGTCTAGTAGGAACAAAATGACGATAAATTCGAAGAAAACAAAAGATATGTGGATATGTTTTAACACAGCAATACCGGCACCAGAGCCATTGGTCATTGGAAACGAGGCGGTGGAAAGAGTAACCTGTTGGGTGTCTGGCATCAAAACAATTTGAAATGGAACTGTCATGTCAAGAACATTGTAAGGAAAGCAAATAAACGAATGTTTAGTCTGAGAGAATGCCGTAGAGCGAATCTTCCTCCTGAGGTCGGTATTACATGTTATGAATCCAAGATTAGACCTGTTTTAGAATATGCAGCTCCGATATGGGGTGGTTTACCACAATATCTTATTGATGAAATAGAGAGCATTCAAAACAGATGCATCAAAATCCTCGGCACATCTCGGTGCAACTTTGAAACGCTAGAACAAAGAAGGGCACACCTAACTGTTAAGAAATACCAAAGAATTCTAAGTGATCCGACCAACCAGTGTAATAAACTTATCCCCCAACCTTTTACCCATGAACACGATCTAAGAACAACAAATAATCTACCATATGTTGTATCGTATACTAAAAGACACCGGCAATCCTTTATACCTAGAGCTATATCCCTTTTAAAACAGTTCTAAATTAATTTTATAGAATATATAACTATAGTATAAACATTTTTAGCAACATTGATGTAAATAATAGTAAAATTTCTTCTTATCAATTTTAACTTTAGCACTTCTTGTAAATCCATTGTACTTTTCTAACCGAAGATGGACATTAAATGTTATATAATAAAAATTACTTATTACAGTAGTTACCTGGTCGGTGGCTTTGAAGATCTGTACACATAACAATGATAGCATATCGATTGTTCATGTAGTTCTACACAGACTACACTTACACTCTAATAATACGCCGAGTCTTGGAGAGTTTTACCCAGCGATCAACTATTACCTTCAGGTCAATTGAATCAATTAAATCTTTTTCTGACCCTAATGTCATGAAATCCTTAAGCCTGTCCTGATTCATCACTGAGCGCATAACTGTCTTGATATCTTTCAGCTTAGAGAAGCTTCGCTCACTCGACGCCGATGTAATAGGTGCAGTTAAAATCAGACAATAGCATCTGTTTGTTAAAGGAAATATGTTAAATTTTCAAATTTCATAGTTAGACGTTCTGCTTCAGCGATTGTTTCAATGTCCAGCTTGTTCTCTCGAAAATGATTTCTAAACACCGTCAGTTCAACTTCAGCGTATAAAACGTCGTTGTTAGGTTGTAGTGAACGTGGAAGCATCTTTACGAGAGAGTCGATGTCTTCTTCTTTGGGATCATTGTCGAATGGAGAAAGAAGAATCTAGGTTAATTGCCGGGGCAAGAATATCACATGTCTTCAACGTTGTCAGTAAGATCTTGTGTTTGTACGTCGAGGACTTGGATAATTCTTTTCTGTAGAAATCCTCGAGGGCACTTTTTTTGCCGTTTCTCGTCTTTCGTCCACTCGCATCGACTCTATGCATGACGTTCAGAAAATTTCACAGCAGAAGTAATCAGATTGTTTACGTTTTGTTCATCGTCAGGTAAGTAGCGCAGAGTAGAAATGGTTGCTTTAGCTGATTCTAGAGTTTTTAAAGTTTTTTAAGATTAGATGTAGGTAATGAGAACCATATTGCCGTTTTCTAGTAATAATTTTATACCACAATAGTCCCTAAATGTTACTCAAAAGGTGTAGTGTGAAATATGATGTGATGGCCTCGTCTTGTTCACAATGTATGCCTGTGAAAATTATGTTGTATTTGATGGAAATGAGGAAAAAAGATAATAAAACGACTTGTATTTGTATAAATGTGAACCTAAGAAATATACGTGTAGGTGTAGATTTGTGAAACATAAAATTGGAGATACATGTCATGAAATTATAACGGTAAAATATATCCTGTGGTGTAAGAAAATTGATCAGACCCAAACCGGTATGATCCTGCTGTACTAGAAAGCTTGTATGCATGGAGGCATTTAAAATATATAAAGCTAGAAAAGGAGATAGTCATGTTTGTAAAATTCAATTTCTTTTCAAAAATAGTAACGACAGGCACCAACCTGGTCTCCAGTCTCCGTATGAAGTTGCCACTTGCTAACGCGGAATAGCGCATTTTATGTAATGTAACGTGATACATTAAAAGCTACTAAGGCCGAATTTTATGAAATCCAATACACATGACATACAGGAAATGTATTTGTATTTCCTTTCTGCCATGCATGAACCGCTGAATGCGTGTCCCTTGGTCATAACATCTTACCAACCAGCTGTTGTGTTGTCGGTCCATATTCACTGACAGAAGTAAATATTACTTCTTGTAACCGAATTTTGGGACCGAGTTTTCGCACAGTATCAAGGAAGAACGGGACCGACTTTTGGTGACCTTCGGACGCTAAGGGGGGTTTCGTACCCATCCCCCGCCCCCCAAAAAACTCCCCCTAATGTGCGCTCCTGCTTTTAGGTTGGTCGTTACATGGGACTCGCGTCCTGTTGACCATACCTTCAATCATTGTTATACTTTTCTATGATTGTAAAGTTAATAAATTCAATAAATTAAATCAATTGTCAACTGCAGAGCGTATGCTCATTATGTGTCATGGTCTTATAAACAAACTACGGTTTTCCTAAAAGTACTTTTCGTGAAATCAACGTTCGGTTGGCTCATGAATTATTAAAGTCGATTACAAACGTTGATCAATGCCCTTCGTTTGATACGAAAGCAGCAAATCTGTACTATATGCATTTGTAACCTGAAAAACCATAGGATCTAACCGCTTTTACTAATTTCAGGTTAATACATACTAGAAAATACATACATGCAGAAACCCTCGCCTTGCTGACAAAACCATTGTATTTTCCGAACATGAAGATATCTAAAGTAGTTGTCATGGTAACACGATATTTTTTTAAGAATACTCTTACAAATGAAAAATCGCCTAAAACACTAAAAACAAAATTATCAATTTCCCAACATATATATGTTAGGTATGTTATTATACGTAATATAAGCTTCAATTTAAGATAAAATTCAACCACAAATGCTTCGCAAAACGTTTTAAAGTGTTCTTTATAAAACTAAACTGCTTAAATGGCTTTATCGATAAACTTTGAGTTTGCAATAAAATGATTTCAAATTCTCGCATACAAATAACTTTACTTTCTTTTTTATTTAAAAAATTCAATATAAAAAAAGGGAATCAATATTAAAGATACACTGAAATACTGAAATTATATGCTGTCTTGTTTAGTTGCCGTTTCATATACGCAAAGGTCGTCGGGTTTTAAAGCCATTATAAAATCAATATTCAAAACAAACTTACCTTCGTTAACGTCGGCTCCCTTCTTTTAGCCGATTCTTTCGCCCTTTCTTTATGAGAAAGATTTTGAAATTTACAAAATCTTGCAAAAATGCGAGCAAATATGAAATAAATTTGCAAAAAAATTATCAATCATCAAATCAAGAAATGTTTGCTATTTCGCTGTCGTCATGCAGTCGTTATAATGCAAACTTTAAATTGGACCAATCAGTGTCCACTATTCATGACAGTCCGCCATAATTTTTGAGATCAGTGAGGATGACCACCCATCGTTGGTCACCCACGCCCGTGATAATTGATGAACTTTAATTAGACTTGGCTAATGCTTTCGTTTCCCCGAGTAAATAGCCGGGGGGAATTAATACCCTTGCACGGCGCTTCGCGGCGTCGGCTCGGGGATTAATGTACGCTAAAAAACATTATGAGGCTTTTTGAAATGAACATTTAAATTACAATTCTGCATATGTGGCAAAAATAAATTAAAAATGTTGAGCATACGAATAGGCCAATTAAAGAGACTATTTAAAATACTGTACCAAATAAGGAAGTCCAAAGTATAATCATCAATCAATTGTTCAAATGAAGCGTTGGAAAGATTATACCAATGTTATACTTATTGTACTTTGATAAATGCGAGAGCAATAAGAGCTTGCAAATGCTCTTTCCTCGGAAACTCCCATTCTGTGTTTTTACTTAATTTCTTTCAATAATAGTGTTGCATTCTCCCAAGAAACAGTCTGATCCAGTAAGACTGTTCTCATTCTGCCACATGTGGCGATTTTTCCATTTTCATTGTCTGAATTTGAGCTGTGTTCGTTTATCTGCTGTGGGGGCATGTTTGGCCTACTATAATGTGCACTGATTACATGACTCACTGCATGAAATCGAGTAAACAACGCGTGCTTCTTTTTCTGGATAGTTCGTGCAAGATTTATAAAATCACGCATGCCCAAAATCCAAACAGTATGGAGTGGCTTAACTATGAATCATAAAAATACTGGATAGCAAATTTACGCTCGCGCATAATGTTTTCAGTGTGTTGTACCAGTCTCAACCTTATAACCTTGTTCACAATTATGACATCAATAAATCCAAATTCGTTCCACGTTTACCAATCAAGAATGCAGCTTTTAGTAAAATAAGCGTTTACCAATAAAAAATGCAGCTTTCAGTTTGATAAATGTTTAAATATTGTTGGTCATTTTTACGAAACATGTCAAAAAGTAGACAGTAAAATACGCGTTACAAATGTCAATTATATCAACAGTAATTTTTGTGACGCATAATTCACCATTGCGAAAATATATAACCTAAAAAACATGTACATTCACCTTGAATACGTTGCCGAGGCAAACGTACGTTTAAGAGACAATGAAACCATTTTCAATCTCAATATAGCTTCTTGAATGCGAAAAATATAGGTGGCAAATCGTTTTGTTTTGATCAAAATTCTGTACGTCGTGTGCATATAAATTATATTGTGACAGCATCATGTCTCAAATTTTGAGTCATGATATGATTTGCACATTTAGTACAAACATAAAATGCACAATTTAGGGATCACGGAATACGGTTTGTATACAAACCAATATTTCAATATGAAAATTCAGTGAAAATTAATGCGAATATTTAAATCTTACCGACCATATAAATCTTCAATGGCTTGGCATAAAAATTGATCACATTTCTTTGCTCTTAGGCTGGAACGCTTGTTGAGGTATTTCTGTGCTGTCTGTAAACCTTCAGCAAAGCCAAACTCAAATTCCATTCTACATACTGTACGATTGGTAAATGACTACAACTGCAAGGTGTATAAAAAAATGCGCACCCTTTCAAGTTTCAAATTCAAATTAACCGTAATCTATTGTAGTAATTTGACACCGTATAATTTCTGGAATTAATGAATGCGTGAAAACACAAGGTCTTCTGCACATGGGAATTTAGGATAACTTCGATTTGTATGAACAAATACTCAAATTTAAAAAAAAGTTTCAAAGTAAGCATGCATTATTCAAGTATGCATATATAAGATATAAAATACGCTAGCTTGCTGCAGCAGAGCAACGAATATTTAAAAGGTTATGGCTAATTTGAATTTGAAAGTATTTTTTTTACATTTTTTTATACACCCTGTACAAGGTGAATAAAAAAAACTGATACCTTTGCGGCTAATTTGAATAACAGAGGTATCAGTTTTCTTTTACTCATCCTGTATTTCGCAACGATTTACTGAGTGCTTTCGTATGAAAAAGCAGTGTCAATTAAACATAGACACAGTGCTTTTATAAAAAAAACATACATAATTGAGTAGGATAGCAAATTTCGAAATTGTTTGTGGCTTTGTAAAATAGTTAAGAGGAGATTTTTTTGTATGTTACGTAACACGCGCTCAAAACTAATGTGTATAATATATCACTTGAGGTCATGACTAAATTCAAAATTTTTATTTTTCGATACGATTCTCAATCGGCAAAAAAACTTAAAAAGTATGTTTAGTGCTTTATCTGTAAAATAATGCTAAAATGAAGAGTCTGTTCATTCTGCTCATAATGCTATGTTCATTCTGTTCATAATGCTAAAATGAAGAGTCTGTCCAGTAAGTTTTGCTTATATGACTGTAAATATGGAGTCAATTTTAAAGCATCATTGATAATTGTATTTTAATTGACAATTTTTAACTATTATTTTATGTTTCTCAACCGGCAGATGCATTTAAAAAGGTAGCTAACTCTATAAACTACAGAATAAAGCTAAAACAAAGTAATTTTGAGAGGAACGCCAGAAAGATTTTAGGTTTTGAACACTTTTCATTGCAAATACGTGACATTGAAAAAAATTGCCTCTTAAAGAACAACATTCACTTAAAGAACAACATTCGCTTAAAGAACAACATTCACTTAAAGAACAACATTCACTTAAAGAACAACATTCACTTAAAGAACAACATTCACTTAAAGAACAACATTCACTTAAAGAACAACATTCACTATAGCCATCCTCAGCGGTATTGGAGTGCATTTGAATTTCATGAAAACGCAACAGTTACCATCACTGATTGAGAACTATCAGAAAAGTGAAAAATAATCACCTTCGCTTTTTTGTGTCGTAGTAGACGTCACAGATCCATGCCTCGTCGACGTATTTTCACTGCTGGGTTGACTGCCATTTGTCCCTTGAGCTACAGGGACATTTGGCAATCTTCTATCATCTACAAATTGATCAGAAAAAGAAAATCATGAATGTACAAAGTTCTGACATAATATTCAGCAACTTACTGTATCTGACTTCATCTGAGATTTACACAGTACAACTCAAGTTGTAAGCAGGTTGCATGTGACAGTTGTCTACTCAAAATCGGCCTTTACAAACCCTGTTTCTAGCCATTTAAAATTTATTTATTTTACCGCCACACCCAAATACCCCATAGCCCATCTTAAGGATCATGGATCTAATAGGATACGATAGGATCCCTCACAGGAATATACAATTTCACACACCTATTTTACGATTTAATAAAGAGTGTTTTTGATTTCCCACCAGTTGACAGTATCCATCGATGAGCTCTGCCATTTCTGTTGCTTGGACAAACGATGAAGTCGTGAATACCAGAGGCT